TTTTCCTCAGGCTAGCTGTTAGCATGAAAGAATTGAAGTTGTGGCAGCATCATGCCACAGTCTCTAGGTTAACAATGGGGATGATGTTCATCTCACCTGACTCCTGCTCTCTACAGGAGTGTGTCTGGTCTTGGCTGTCTCTCTGGTTAGTGGAGACATACAGGATCTGCTGGAGGGCACTTCTCCCTACCCTGTTTAGACACTTTCTCCTCCTTCAAGGAGGAATAATAATCTCTGAAGGTTCCTGTCTTTTCCCATTGACATGATAATGATTACACCGGACTAGAGTGGCATAAATATGTGAAATATGGCCACCATTCTGCCCCCAGTCTCTAAAACTTGGGGTCTGCAGGGTTTTTCCAGGCAGAAATCAAGGCAGCCTTTTCCCAAAGAGGTGCATTTTGATAATTAAAGTGACAAGAGGTACAGCAGGTGTGAACTTACGTAGAGTACACAGATTCACTATTCCAAACTTATTTCTGTCACTTAGACCTGTAACTCACTGGCTGATTATTAGTGGAGATTCAATACAAATACAAATAGTAAAAGCAAATACGAAGAGTGAGCACCCAATTAATTACTCTAGTGGGATGCTTCATGGACAGGGGGTCCTGATACTGTGTTAGGGGCTGAATCTATCCTGACTGAATGTGAAGAGGAGCCTCTCCTACTTATTCTCAAAGTGCTTGCCTGTAATAGATTTAGGATTGCACAGTGCTTTAAAGATTAAATGTTGTTGTTTTTCTGTGATGACTTATCTGGGGACTGCAATAGATCCCTCTGAAGTGAGAAACCACCGAATCTTCAGCGTTACCAGCAACAGCTTTGAAATGTCCTGGCATGTTGCTTCAGCTCTGAACCATACTTTCCAAGTCCAAGTGTTCAAGGGCAAAGAGATAGTCCAAAACCTGAAGACAGAGGAAATGAAAATGAATGTGTCTGGACTGGAAGCAGGTGTGATGTATGCAGTAGAAATCATCTATGAAACCTGTGGAAAAACCAGCATCTCCCATCAAAATGTTAAAACAGGTAAATAGCCACTTTAAAATAGAAATTATTATTTTTTTCTCCTTCACTCTCCCTCTCTCCACTCATTTGCAGTTCAGCAATCATCCATTTGGTCCTTCCTGAGCTCCACTTCCTTCCTCTCTTCTCTGCCCCAGCATTTACGCAACCAGGACTATCAAGCAGCACAGCTCTGGTGTTAGTTGATAAAGCAGGGCTGGAGCTGACTCAGACTGTTACAGATATCAGGCTAAGCCACAACACTTTCATTTATTTATTTATTTATTTATTTATTTAGGTTTGGCTTGTTGTTGGTTTCGTTTCTTTAGTCTTCCATCAGGCCCCAATTTTTCCTGGTTGAGGGATGTGGCCAGTGAGAAATACAGTCAACCAGTTTGTCAAGGACTCAGCTGAGCTAATGAGAGTGCCCAGAGGAAGGCCAGATTCTGTTGAATATTTATGAGTGACCAGGATTAAAGGGAATAACAAAGGCTGTGTAAGAAAGCTTGCAGAATACTTCCATAATTTTGTTCAATTAGCCAGTGGTGCTAGCTCCACAAAACCCTAGTGTCTTGATCAAGCATTATTTTGTTTTTTCTTTATCCTGAAATTATTCCCTAAGCCTTTATGCAAATAAAGGAATAAATCTCTCCATGTTTTCTTCAAAAAGCAGGCAGTGAACTATTTAGTACTGGCCACAGTGAGAATGCTGCTGTTTATGTTTAGTCACAAGAGCCTTTCCTTTGATCAGATGAGGGATTATTCCAGTTTGGGTCAGAAGGAAATTACTCCCTTTGTAGAGGGAAAATGGGAGGTCTAGTAATTACGGAGACAGGAGGCTGAACTTCAGAGTATGAAGTTAGAGCCCTTGAGAAGAAGAAAAAGTTTTCCAAAGATCAGTCCAAAGAGCAACAGCTTCACATTGTTTGTACAGATTAAAGTAGTTAATAGATTCCTTGGCTCCTTCTTATGGCTCACATGCTCTGTACACTACCTGTCAGGGCTTACCAGACAGAGAAATGTTGTGCACTGTTTGTTTCTTGTGATTACTTTAAGTTTAAGAGTATACTTACTCTCCACACTATCAAGATCACGAAAAAATAATGATTGTGACTGGTGGACCAGAAATGAGATCACAGGCAATTCAATTGTTATGTAGGGTCAGGTCTGCAAGGATTAGGTATATAACTGTTCCACACGTGGTTGTAATTAGACACCTAAGTATCTTCATGGTCCTAGTGTAAGTGCATCTTCTCAATGTATAGGAAGCTTGTGGCAGAATGTTTGCTTTATTTTCTTGGTTTAATACCAAAATCTCTCAACCTTCTCCCTCCTTTCTCCCTCCACCATCTGAGACTTCGGTCGAGGTACAACAGTTTTGATTGAATCCTCCTCTTCTGCTTTGTCAGTGTGTGTTTTATGTGTCCTACAGAGGCCAAGGTATTTGGTATTACTATGAGGATTCTCAACTACAACTTCACTGATGATTTCCATAATGCCAGCAGCTCAGCATATGAAGAATTTTCAAGACTGCTGCTTACACAGGTAATGCTAAAATATCTATGGATAATATATTTTTTATCAATTTAGCATGTATTTTATGTAATAAAGGATATTATGCCTGGCTGAAGTATCCCTTGAAAATCATCCTACTGTTTCCTCTGACCTTTCTTTGTAATTAAAATAAAATTCAGCTGACTGAATAAATCAAGTCCTTGGCCTTATTATTAGCAATGGCACCAATGAGAATTTTCCTCTATAGAAGAGTAAAGGGATTAAAAATGCAGACATGTAACAGGGACTCCCTTCCTTGGATCTTTAGTTTGGCAATAAACTCAGACTAAATTGACTTGAGGCTTTTGAATGGATTATTGAAATAACATAGCTGACATTTATTTCAATGCTGTCTTCTCAGTAAATGTCTGACTGCTTTCAAAGCTCTTTCTTCTTTAAGGAAAAGTGACTAGGTCAGGCTTTCTTCTCCAGCCCCATTCTTTGCATGCACACATGTAGCCACTGCTAGTGTGTAATCAGCCATAGAAAAAACTTGAGTCATGAAGTCTGTGGACAGCTCTCAATTTCACACACAGGGGAAGCGTTCTAGATGCAGCACTCTCCTGCAGGGTGTTTGTAGACAACAGGGCCCAAAGAGAGGAGCTGGGTTCTCCATCCAAAATGAGACTTTCCCAAAACAAATGGGGGGCTCATAAGCATACATGAATATAAATCTGAGTTAAAAACCCCACAATAACAGAACTATATTTTCAAAGGCGTAAGAAATTGCAAGGTGAACCTCCTGACAAGGTTTTGTTTCTCACAGCTGCAAATATTTGCTTTTGTTGTGCAGGAGGTTTTTTGTGGGTGAATCTCCTCTGGGAACAATGCAGACCTAATTGGCATCACGGGATTGAGAAGGAAAAGGAGCATTGCCCATCTGTGTTGCTTCTGCCTCCTTGGGTGTTTGGGAGCACAATATCTCATTCCTCTCTCCCTTCTTTTTCATGCATCCCCACCCTGATCTGAATTTAGACCAGTTAAAACAGCTGGTTTGTAGGAATTCTTGGAACAAACTCTGGCTGGGAACAAAGTGGTGTTGATTTATGGCACTATACGTTGGGTGCTCAAAGGCATGCTTTGAGGTGTATGTAGGAACAAAAGGTTCAAGCATGGAAATGCCTACTAGAGATGTAAGGTGAAACTACCAGCTCCTGCACAGCTCAAATACGGACAGCAGTGTTTACTGTTCAGCTTTACTGTTCAGAGTAACACCATTTGTAACTGATGTATCTACTTAACCCAATTGGTAAAGTTTAATTGTGATATTGCTTTGAAGTTGAGTTGCCTCAAACCCATTTTTTCAAGCTTATCCACCCACATTTTTCTTGTCTCTCATTGTGAGATTGATCACCAGACTCATCTTCAGGCTGGGCTTGAATTGGTGAGTTTGAAATAATCCCTGGGAGGTAAAGGGATTCCCATACTGGGAAATTAAACATTTTTTTAAGCTTCCTTTGGCACTGACAGCAATTGGCACAAACAAGCTTGCATCCATGCAGTTGGGTCTTCCAAAGTAAGATGGTCACATTCAGATTGCCTGTTGGAACTGGCCCCTGGCCAATGCTAAGCATCATCCTCTGCCTGGGCACTGCCTGGGGGACTGCTAGCTTGTAGCAGCCAAAATTCAACCAGAGTTTGTGAAGATGACCAAGTTCTAGTGTCTGGGAGCTAAGGCAAATGTATAAGAGGCTTGGGATGAAAAGTTTACATGACATGCAGAGCTAACATCAAGAATCTGGTGCATGCAGATTTTCCAGGCCAATTCAGCTGTGAGGCAGGCAAAAAGGGGCAGCAGGTATTCTGCTCCCTTCAGCCAAAATGAAAATAGGGTTATTAGACCAGTGGTCAGATGGGTACCATTTTCAAGGGTACCTAAGTGCACCAAGGAGACTCACACTTCTTTGTGACTCAATAATGTCTGAAAAGTAAAATTTCTGAAACACTGAAACTTTTCTTTTTGCATACTTTTCTACATTGTGCGTATATAAATCTTTAAAAATGGCACCACCATAGTTTTAAAATTAGTTATTCTTGTTGAGTTTCTGGTTGTTGATGCTTCTCTCCCTTTGCTCAGCTTGAAAATTCATTTCCACCCAACATTTCTGCTTTATACCAATCTGGGAATCTGAAAGTGCAGATTGAATCCCTGCAAGCTGGAAGCATCATTGTGAGGTTCAGAATCACTGTGCAGGATCTTGAGTTTCCAGTCAATGCCTCCACATTTGCCCCAGTGCTTTCTTACCTGCATAATGGCTCTGCACTTCTAGTGGATCAGCAAAACACTGTGGTAGAAGGTAATTTTTATTATTCTTATCTTTTTGAAGAAGAAAATAGGGTTTGTATTTTGATCATGCACTGTATCGCCAGCATTCTCCTTGAAAAGTACTTTACAGAGAGACTAAGTATGTGATTTGTTGGAGGGAAAACCATGGGATCAAAACTCCTCCTTGGCCATTTATCCACAGGCCCAGAAGGGGTCTGATGAAGGAGCAATGGCTGTCTCCCAGGTCTCTGCTTCCCTCCACTGTGTTTAAGGAGGAGTGGAGCCCTATGTTTCCTTGTTAATTTTGCTCCCTCTCCTCTTTGTAGGCAGTTGGAAGTTTGCCATATCTGTCTCAAACTTAATTGCAGATAGGGTTACTGTAGAATATTTGTAGCCTTTAGACACATGTACCCTCTAGACGGTTTTGTTCTTCAAGGCTGTGGGGCTGTATTTGGGTCAGAGTTTAGGAAAAGAAGTCTAACATCTTCACTATAGAAATCCAGCAAGAGAAATTCACAAATGTACTCTCAGTTAATAGGACTAAGGAAACATGAATGGAATTTATGTTAAACCAGGTCTTTGTTTGATCTTCAGTAATCACCGTTTTTATCTTCACAGGGCTAAGTTCTGGCTTCAGGTTTCCCAGCTGGCAGACCCAGAGTTCAGGAAGTAGCCAAAGCCAACAAAATGGGTTATTCCTCTTTGCAGTGTATTGTGCCCTTAAAAAAGTTTATTTACTGTGATCAGGGAAAACTCACTTTGGAGTTGAAGAGCCTATGGAGGTTAAGGGAAACAGGACAGGAAAAAACAAGTTGCATCTGAAGCCAACAAATATCACAGTGGTAGCAGATATTAAATTGCAAGATGCTGATGCCATAATGCTTTATAAATATTGATCCTGGACTGAAAGAATGGGGAAGAAGGAAATAGCTGTGGACTGGTTCTTTAATTGCAGAAAACCATCTGGCTTCCAGTAGTACTGCTCTTAGCCAGGAGCACAGCCAACTCCTCCACTCCTCCTTAGTGAGAGAGAAAAGAGTCTATTTCTTAGCTCTGCCCAAATGAGCATTTGTTTGACATGAATTTCTTAAAGTCACATGTGGAAAATGAGATGATGGAGTGCAGTACAGTAAGGCAAGGTTTGTACAACGAGCTGTTTTGCTTCTTGAACCACAAGAGTCCTGGGATGTGCCCCGTGACAGTAAGCCCGCACAGATCCTCTTGGCCCAGTGAAGCAAGGCCACCTGGATCCTCTGTGGAGCCTGGCCACCAAAAGGTTATGTGCTTGGCTTAGTGATAGTGACAGAGCAGGGAACTCAACTTTGAAGCAGGAAGGATGAGAAGTCAGAAGAGAGAGAGCAACTGAAGGGAGTGGAGCAATTGCATCTCTCTTTGAGGACTCATGAATTACTAAATTTACTGCCATGATGAATTGAGACACTAAAATGTCTGTCCCTTGTGTGAGGCATGGTGAGAAAAGAGAAGGGGATGTGTGCTGAGTCAGGTCCAAGATAGATCTAGCACAATATCATGTCCTTGGTAGCAGCCAGGAGCCAATGTGTAAGAAGAAGTGTAAGGAGAAGTGTAAAATACAGCAAATGTAGATTATGACTCTCACTAAATACTCTCTTAGCTACCAACTGCTTTCAGCTCCAGAACTCCCTGAATCCAGAGTGATTTATTTAGGTTTCTCCCCCATGCAGTCATGCAAACCTTTAACATGTGCAACATCTTTAGGCAAGGTATTTCACAGATTTGTACCTATTGCATGTACTTCTTATGGGTAAAATGGATAATGAGAAAGAACAAAAAGGTGGAGATGTGTGGGGATGACACTTCCCAAATGTCAAAGGCCAGGGAGGTGCCAAAAGTGCAGAAGGAGAGCACATTGGCTGAAGTGTGATGTTTATAGAGGAAAAAAGTGCATCGTGTGTGTGTGTATGTGCAAGTGCTACATACTAGTGCCAGTGAGCACTGAGAAGAGATCATAAGTGTTTTAGCCCGTTGCGTGACTGAATGTGGCCATCAGAGGTGAAGGAATTTGCTCAGACAGCCATGCTAAATGATGAAAAGGAAACCCTTAGAGAAAGTGGAGCCAGTGAATATAAGCTATTTGGCAGTTAGCACGGGAGCATCTCTCAGATGGTGTTTGAAGCCATGGAGAGTCACAATTACTTCATAGCATAGTAAGACATTAAGGAGGGCACTTTCATTGCTGGTGCTTTAGTCAATCTTGCATACTTCTGTATTCCCCCTAAGTGGCTTAGGCTGTAATGTAATAGGCAGATGCTGGCCATAGGCACATGGAATTGTCTAATGAAAAGAATAATGGATTCAACAGCTATCTAATGAGGAAGAAAGGAAAAGAAGTTGAAATATTAGCTGGAAGAAAGCAAAAGGGGAAGGCTGTCTGCAAGCAGAAAGATGAATGCAGATATGTGCACGCACATACCTGCTCTGTGCTTTCTGTTTCTAGAGTGGGACTTTCCTTTTTTTTCAGAGAAATTATCACAGTGATTAGTCTCTGCATGTTTTCAGAACAAACACTTATGATAATGCATTGTTCAAAACAGTTTTCTAGCCTCTGATCAGAATTGTTTGTCCCAAAACACAGTTTTCAGTCTAATTTTATGCTCTTCTTCATTTACAGTCCTGAGGTAGTGAAGGTGTATGCACAAGAGAGTGCACACAGGAGCACTCCCATGGGATTCACTGAGATTATTTATGTCCAAGCATTAACTTGGCCTTTACATGTTTGCTAGAATAGGGTGTAAGTGGTAATATAAGACTCCAGATCTAAATCTTTCAAGAATAAAGCGACTTGGCAATGAAATACGTCTATAACTTTACAAAAAAAGCACCTCTAACTGATAAAGGGCAGCTCAAATTAGACATAAGGAAGACCCTTAGAGCATATTCATGCATTGATGAACCAGGATCTCTTTTTCTGAGGCTACCAGAAAGAGAGTCACAGTTTTACAGTACTACCTTTCAGAAGAAATCTTTTACAAAATTAGTTTTTCTGTTACAATTTCCTCTGTTAAGATCTGAAGAGTGCTTCTTGTGGGAGTTTCTTGTCTTTTATTTGAAGCAGAAGATTATTTGGATTAACTCTCTATTTAAGATTCCATCTACTGGTAGCTAGTGGTAACATATCTATTAATTACCTGCTGTATCTGAAGGTACTGTACACAGAACTTGGCATAATGTATGCTTTTGATGTAGCAATAGTACAAACCTATGATATTTTTTTTCACTTCAAGTAAGTATTTACTTCTAAACAAAAAAGGCTTCAAAGTTCTTTACCTGGAGAAAAAGTTTTTCAGAGCACAAGGCCAAAGGTTGTTTTTTACGTGAGAGAATAGGAACACAGGTCATACTGCATCACTCAGAGCTTGTCTATCAGGTAAACAAGGAAAAAGGAAGACCACATCCATAAATTGAAGAACTGAAGAAAGGTCTATTTTATAGAATCACAGAATTGTAGAATACCAGGTTGAAAGGGATCTCAAGGATCACCTGGTCCAACCTTTCTTGGCAAAAGCACAATCTAGACAACATGGCCCAGTGTTCTGACCAGCTGAATCTTAAATGTATTCAATGTTGAGGGATCCAGTACTTCCCTGTGGAGATTATTTCAATGGCTGATTGTTCTCATTGTGGTCATTTTTCTTCCTTTCTTCAGTTGGAATCTCCCCAGTAGTAACTTGTACCAATTATCCTTCATATTTTTTATGTATTTGTGATTGTTTCTAGCATAATGCAGCCAGAAGAGAGGCTGTCTGACTGATTTGGCTTTTTTTCTTAACAGACTGGGATGAATGTGCTTCTCTTGCCGAGAATGACTGCTCCACATCTGCAGAGTGTATCAATGTGATGGGCTCCTACCTGTGCAGATGCAAGACAACGATGGATACCAATCCATCCCGACCTGGAAGAAACTGTGAGGGTGAGCAGAAGATTGGAGTGTAGTTCCCCTTTGCCCTGAAAGTTTGGAATAAAGAGAGGTGTTTTGCCTCTACTTTTATTGCAACTGTTTATAGAGCACACTATATATATAGATGCACCTTTGCAATCTCTGGCAGAAGGACTGTATACAATCTGTCTCTGAACATGAAGGTGACCCCTTCAGATGAAATCTCTCTGAGATTCTCTTTGACTAGCCTAATAACTGGCTGTTGAGCAACATGAAGTGTACTTTTTACTCTTTTGGAATATTTGTGGCTAATATCGTCTCACTGAAATGATCCATGACCTGCCATCCAGGAGAGGAGACCAGAAATCAAATCTGCTTCTTTGTGTAGGTACAAACCAGATTCACCACCATAAAAATCATGTATGCTACAATGTGTTCAGGAAATATCCAAGACCTGTTTCTGTAATGCTGTTATGGGTGGCTGCGTGGTCTCAGTCCCATTTTCAGGTCAGACCCTGATGCCTCTTTGTCCAGTGAGAGGTCCCATTTCAATGTACATTTGCTGTGTTGCAGGTGAGATTGTGGACCCTCTCAGTGAAACGATGGCTCCTGAAATAACAAACAGTACAGAGCTTGCTCCTGAAGAAGTGAGTCCTGCAGGCCCTTCTTCCCTTGCCACCATAGAAGTGGTGGAGGCTGTAGGTTCTGAGCTGAGCACTGCTGTATACGTCCCTGTTCCCCTGCCCCTGGATGAGAAGCAAGCACCTCATGGTCATTCTCCCACTGATGTTCCTCCAGCAGCTTGGAGAAAAGTCCCAGCAACACAGATGGGCTTTGCCAGGGACAACAGCTCCATGTCCAAGGGAGCTGCAGCCAGTGAGGAAGTAGCCATGAGTGCAGAGCAGCAGCTGGCTGTAAGTCCATCACAGCAAAGTTCTGCAGCAGAGGCTTCCTCCAGCGCATCGCAGCAAGAGGCTGCCCTCACAAACGTGCCCAGAGGCACAGCTGGCCAAGAGCAATCCAGCTCACCATTGCTGGTCTTTCCAAACCAAACAGCCTCTGCTTCCACCAGAAGTCGCACTACTTCTGATGTGCCTCAAGACAGCTCTCAAGGTGGCTCCAGTATGACTCTGCCAGCCACTGGGGATGCTGGTGTTCCCACCCTCAACACCACTCTCAGAGCCCATGTAGAGATTGGAGGAGAGAACAGCTCTTGGGCTGAGCAATATGCCAGATCCCTGGGGCCATCAACTTTGCCAGGCACCTCTCCAGCTCCCAGCCCAGCACCGAGCCCCACCATGGACCAGGGTGAGTGTGCACTGAGTGGGGTCTGCACGTGTGGTAATTCAGCTGCATGAAAAGCAAAGCTGGGAGAGATGCACAGCTGCCATCAGTGGTCTGGGGTGAAGGTGCCTGAAACTAATTTCTTTCTTTCTTTCTTTCTTTCTTTCTTTCTTTCTTTCTTTCTTTCTTTCTTTCTTTCTTTCTTTCTTTCTTTCTTTCTTTCTTTCTTTCTTTCTTCTTTCTTTCTTCTTTCTTTTTCTTTCTTTCTTTCTTTCTTTCTTTCTTTCTTTCTTTCTTTCTTTCTTTCTTTCTTTCTTTCTTTCTTTCTTTCTTTCTTTCTTTCTTTCTTTCTTTCTTTCTTTCTTTCTTTCTTTCTTTCTTTCTTTCTTTCTTTCTTTCTTTCTTTCTTTCTTTCTTTCTTTCTTTCTTTCTTTCTTTCTTTCTTTCTTTCTTTCTTTCTTTCTTTCTTTCTTTCTTTCTTTCTTTCTTTCTTTCTTTCTTTCTTTCTTTCTTTCTTTCTTTCTTTCTTTCTTTCTTTCTTTCTTTCTTTCTTTCTTTCTTTCTTTCTTTCTTTCTTTCTTTCTTTCTTTCTTTCTTTCTTTCTTTCTTTCTTTCTTTCTTTCTTTCTTTCTTTCTTTCTTTCTTTCTTTCTTTCTTTCTTTCTTTCTTTCTTTCTTTCTTTCTTTCTTTCTTTCTTTCTTTCTTTCTTTCTTTCTTTCTTTCTTTCTTTCTTTCTTTCTTTCTTTCTTTCTTCCTTTCTTCCTTTCTTCCTTTCTTCCTTTCTTCCTTTCTTCCTTTCTTCCTTTCTTCCTTTCTTCCTTTCTTCCTTTCTTCCTTTCTTCCTTTCTTCCTTTCTTCCTTTCTTCCTTTCTTCCTTTCTTCCTTTCTTCCTTTCTTCCTTTCTTCCTTTCTTCCTTTCTTCCTTTCTTCCTTTCTTCCTTTCTTCCTTTCTTCCTTTCTTCCTTTCTTCCTTTCTTCCTTTCTTCCTTTCTTCCTTTCTTCCTTTCTTCCTTTCTTCCTTTCTTCCTTTCTTCCTTTCTTCCTTTCTTCCTTTCTTCCTTTCTTCCTTTCTTCCTTTCTTCCTTTCTTCCTTTCTTCCTTTCTTCCTTTCTTCCTTTCTTCCTTTCTTCCTTTCTTCCTTTCTTCCTTTCTTCCTTTCTTCCTTTCTTCCTTTCTTCCTTTCTTCCTTTCTTCCTTTCTTCCTTTCTTCCTTTCTTCCTTTCTTCCTTTCTTCCTTTCTTCCTTTCTTCCTTTCTTCCTTTCTTCCTTTCTTCCTTTCTTCCTTTCTTCCTTTCTTCCTTTCTTCCTTTCTTCCTTTCTTCCTTTCTTCCTTTCTTCCTTTCTTCCTTTCTTCCTTTCTTCCTTTCTTCCTTTCTTCCTTTCTTCCTTTCTTCCTTTCTTCCTTTCTTCCTTTCTTCCTTTCTTCCTTTCTTCCTTTCTTCCTTTCTTCCTTTCTTCCTTTCTTCCTTTCTTCCTTTCTTCCTTTCTTCCTTTCTTCCTTTCTTCCTTTCTTCCTTTCTTCCTTTCTTCCTTTCTTCCTTTCTTCCTTTCTTCCTTTCTTCCTTTCTTCCTTTCTTCCTTTCTTCCTTTCTTCCTTTCTTCCTTTCTTCCTTTCTTCCTTTCTTCCTTTCTTCCTTTCTTCCTTTCTTCCTTTCTTCCTTTCTTCCTTTCTTCCTTTCTTCCTTTCTTCCTTTCTTCCTTTCTTCCTTTCTTCCTTTCTTCCTTTCTTCCTTTCTTCCTTTCTTCCTTTCTTCCTTTCTTCCTTTCTTCCTTTCTTCCTTTCTTCCTTTCTTCCTTTCTTCCTTTCTTCCTTTCTTCCTTTCTTCCTTTCTTCCTTTCTTCCTTTCTTCCTTTCTTCCTTTCTTCCTTTCTTCCTTTCTTCCTTTCTTCCTTTCTTCCTTTCTTCCTTTCTTCCTTTCTTCCTTTCTTCCTTTCTTCCTTTCTTCCTTTCTTCCTTTCTTCCTTTCTTCCTTTCTTCCTTTCTTCCTTTCTTCCTTTCTTCCTTTCTTCCTTTCTTCCTTTCTTCCTTTCTTCCTTTCTTCCTTTCTTCCTTTCTTCCTTTCTTCCTTTCTTCCTTTCTTCCTTTCTTCCTTTCTTCCTTTCTTCCTTTCTTCCTTTCTTCCTTTCTTCCTTTCTTCCTTTCTTCCTTTCTTCCTTTCTTCCTTTCTTCCTTTCTTCCTTTCTTCCTTTCTTCCTTTCTTCCTTTCTTCCTTTCTTCCTTTCTTCCTTTCTTCCTTTCTTCCTTTCTTCCTTTCTTCCTTTCTTCCTTTCTTCCTTTCTTCCTTTCTTCCTTTCTTCCTTTCTTCCTTTCTTCCTTTCTTCCTTTCTTCCTTTCTTCCTTTCTTCCTTTCTTCCTTTCTTCCTTTCTTCCTTTCTTCCTTTCTTCCTTTCTTCCTTTCTTCCTTTCTTCCTTTCTTCCTTTCTTCCTTTCTTCCTTTCTTCCTTTCTTCCTTTCTTCCTTTCTTCCTTTCTTCCTTTCTTCCTTTCTTCCTTTCTTCCTTTCTTCCTTTCTTCCTTTCTTCCTTTCTTCCTTTCTTCCTTTCTTCCTTTCTTCCTTTCTTCCTTTCTTCCTTTCTTCCTTTCTTCCTTTCTTCCTTTCTTCCTTTCTTCCTTTCTTCCTTTCTTCCTTTCTTCCTTTCTTCCTTTCTTCCTTTCTTCCTTTCTTCCTTTCTTCCTTTCTTCCTTTCTTCCTTTCTTCCTTTCTTCCTTTCTTCCTTTCTTCCTTTCTTCCTTTCTTCCTTTCTTCCTTTCTTCCTTTCTTCCTTTCTTCCTTTCTTCCTTTCTTCCTTTCTTCCTTTCTTCCTTTCTTCCTTTCTTCCTTTCTTCCTTTCTTCCTTTCTTCCTTTCTTCCTTTCTTCCTTTCTTCCTTTCTTCCTTTCTTCCTTTCTTCCTTTCTTCCTTTCTTCCTTTCTTCCTTTCTTCCTTTCTTCCTTTCTTCCTTTCTTCCTTTCTTCCTTTCTTCCTTTCTTCCTTTCTTCCTTTCTTCCTTTCTTCCTTTCTTCCTTTCTTCCTTTCTTCCTTTCTTCCTTTCTTCCTTTCTTCCTTTCTTCCTTTCTTCCTTTCTTCCTTTCTTCCTTTCTTCCTTTCTTCCTTTCTTCCTTTCTTCCTTTCTTCCTTTCTTCCTTTCTTCCTTTCTTCCTTTCTTCCTTTCTTCCTTTCTTCCTTTCTTCCTTTCTTCCTTTCTTCCTTTCTTCCTTTCTTCCTTTCTTCCTTTCTTCCTTTCTTCCTTTCTTCCTTTCTTCCTTTCTTCCTTTCTTCCTTTCTTCCTTTCTTCCTTTCTTCCTTTCTTCCTTTCTTCCTTTCTTCCTTTCTTCCTTTCTTCCTTTCTTCCTTTCTTCCTTTCTTCCTTTCTTCCTTTCTTCCTTTCTTCCTTTCTTCCTTTCTTCCTTTCTTCCTTTCTTCCTTTCTTCCTTTCTTCCTTTCTTCCTTTCTTCCTTTCTTCCTTTCTTCCTTTCTTCCTTTCTTCCTTTCTTCCTTTCTTCCTTTCTTCCTTTCTTCCTTTCTTCCTTTCTTCCTTTCTTCCTTTCTTCCTTTCTTCCTTTCTTCCTTTCTTCCTTTCTTCCTTTCTTCCTTTCTTCCTTTCTTCCTTTCTTCCTTTCTTCCTTTCTTCCTTTCTTCCTTTCTTCCTTTCTTCCTTTCTTCCTTTCTTCCTTTCTTCCTTTCTTCCTTTCTTCCTTTCTTCCTTTCTTCCTTTCTTCCTTTCTTCCTTTCTTCCTTTCTTCCTTTCTTCCTTTCTTCCTTTCTTCCTTTCTTCCTTTCTTCCTTTCTTCCTTTCTTCCTTTCTTCCTTTCTTCCTTTCTTCCTTTCTTCCTTTCTTCCTTTCTTCCTTTCTTCCTTTCTTCCTTTCTTCCTTTCTTCCTTTCTTCCTTTCTTCCTTTCTTCCTTTCTTCCTTTCTTCCTTTCTTCCTTTCTTCCTTTCTTCCTTTCTTCCTTTCTTCCTTTCTTCCTTTCTTCCTTTCTTCCTTTCTTCCTTTCTTCCTTTCTTCCTTTCTTCCTTTCTTCCTTTCTTCCTTTCTTCCTTTCTTCCTTTCTTCCTTTCTTCCTTTCTTCCTTTCTTCCTTTCTTCCTTTCTTCCTTTCTTCCTTTCTTCCTTTCTTCCTTTCTTCCTTTCTTCCTTTCTTCCTTTCTTCCTTTCTTCCTTTCTTCCTTTCTTCCTTTCTTCCTTTCTTCCTTTCTTCCTTTCTTCCTTTCTTCCTTTCTTCCTTTCTTCCTTTCTTCCTTTCTTCCTTTCTTCCTTTCTTCCTTTCTTCCTTTCTTCCTTTCTTCCTTTCTTCCTTTCTTCCTTTCTTCCTTTCTTCCTTTCTTCCTTTCTTCCTTTCTTCCTTTCTTCCTTTCTTCCTTTCTTCCTTTCTTCCTTTCTTCCTTTCTTCCTTTCTTCCTTTCTTCCTTTCTTCCTTTCTTCCTTTCTTCCTTTCTTCCTTTCTTCCTTTCTTCCTTTCTTCCTTTCTTCCTTTCTTCCTTTCTTCCTTTCTTCCTTTCTTCCTTTCTTCCTTTCTTCCTTTCTTCCTTTCTTCCTTTCTTCCTTTCTTCCTTTCTTCCTTTCTTCCTTTCTTCCTTTCTTCCTTTCTTCCTTTCTTCCTTTCTTCCTTTCTTCCTTTCTTCCTTTCTTCCTTTCTTCCTTTCTTCCTTTCTTCCTTTCTTCCTTTCTTCCTTTCTTCCTTTCTTCCTTTCTTCCTTTCTTCCTTTCTTCCTTTCTTCCTTTCTTCCTTTCTTCCTTTCTTCCTTTCTTCCTTTCTTCCTTTCTTCCTTTCTTCCTTTCTTCCTTTCTTCCTTTCTTCCTTTCTTCCTTTCTTCCTTTCTTCCTTTCTTCCTTTCTTCCTTTCTTCCTTTCTTCCTTTCTTCCTTTCTTCCTTTCTTCCTTTCTTCCTTTCTTCCTTTCTTCCTTTCTTCCTTTCTTCCTTTCTTCCTTTCTTCCTTTCTTCCTTTCTTCCTTTCTTCCTTTCTTCCTTTCTTCCTTTCTTCCTTTCTTCCTTTCTTCCTTTCTTCCTTTCTTCCTTTCTTCCTTTCTTCCTTTCTTCCTTTCT